GCTTGAAACATCAGAGCCAGCACCTTGGAGCCCGCCCAAATCCCGACCGGCATATCACTTCAGATGTGCGAAGCCATCACCGAAACACCATGGCCCGATAAAGGTACTACCACTCGGAGAAACGGCCTCGACTACCCTACTTACCCTCACGCCGGGTAGCAGCCATTCCCCTCCGTCCGGGGCAGACAAACCTACCACTGGCGTACGGTACAGTCAAGAACGACGGCGTTCTGAACCCTATCTATCAACAATTAATCACGCCGAGTTTAGAGCTGTCAGTCAGCCCATTTAAGCTGGCCCATATAAGCTGTAGTAGCAGCACTAGAAAACCGGCTCGCGATCCTTCGAGTTCTTTGGCTGCAGTGATCGACGGTCTGATCACAGTCACACGTCACATGCATTTGCGCCGGGCTTGAACGCTTTTATTAAAGCAACGCGATGAGGGGTTTCCTTTCTTGTTTTTCTTTCTGGTCATACCATGCCCAATTGTACATAATCTTTTTCTTTCAAATGATCACGATAAGAGTCTTCTGATACGTCTCAAAAATGCATTTGACGGAGATGAACGAGATTCATTCGTTCCCAAGGGGTAGCTAGGAAAAACAATGTCGGCGCATCATGATAAGGCCGGCACATCTCATTGGAGGCCGAGTCACAATCTCGCAGGTCCCCATGTACATACTCCGTAGGCACCTGCTGCTGTTGCTGCTGCTGCTGCTAATATATACCTGACTTCCCACTAACCCTCCCGCGCTTCTTCTCGCCCGACCGGCCGTTACATAACTATGGGTATTGTATTGGATATTAAAGACTTAGACAACTGCATCATCAAAACGACATGATAGAACATAGAAAGGGCGAGAGGAAAATGGAATCAGACAACGCAGAAACCAGAGATGACACTACAAGAACAGCGAGCATCCCGTCGAATGAGACAGCAGGCAGGTAGGTATGTTCAAGCACCGCCAGCGGCACTTTGACCCCGACCCGTGGAGCCAGATAGACTGATGAACTCGGTATTTCTTACTCATCCAGCGGTCCGTCGAGAGTTCCACCCTCCCATCTGCATAAGCATCAAATGGATACGAGTGAACACGACATTCACGAGAACCAGAACTAGAACCAGATCGCTGCCACGGCCGAGCGGAGCCCAACCAGATTAGCTGGAAGACGACTCGGCGCGCTTTTCACTGCCGTCGCGACGCTCGGTCTCCTCTCTCAGGCGATCCCGGGATGCGGTGCGAATGCGCCGTAATTGTTCCTCTTCTTGCTCACGAACCTTCTTTTCCTCCTCGGCGGTGGGGATGAATGCGTTGGCGGCGCCACCTGTTTTTTGGTCACAATTTACGAGGTTAGCGAGGAGACTTCGAGGTCGTGGAAAGAAATCAAGATAAAAAATATCCCCGTGCGGGAAACGAAGAAGAAGAAAAAAGAGACAAGAAAGAAAACGTACCTCGTCCGGTGTGATGCGGAGCGTCCTCCACGCGCAGAGGCGGTGACTCCACGTCCTGCATCTCTCGCGCAATCTCTGGATGTTGCGGATCATTGACCACCATGTTGCCCGATCCGCCGCGGCCAGTGGTAAAGACCTCCTGTTTGATCGTGGGGGTGACGAGGTCTTTGGGCGACGTGCGGGTTTCGGCGGAGTAGATGTTGCCTGTCAAACCCGAATAGGTTCAGCTTCAAGATTGATCCCCCCCGAGGTAGAGCGAAGCAAAAAAAAAAAAAAAAAAAAAGACTGGGATCTCACCTGCGCCTCCGCGACCGTGCGAAATATTTCGAGAGCCTCCCATATTTACGTGGAGGAGTATACGATCAAGAATGGGGGGGAAGACGACGGAGAAGAATGTTTTAGCGGGGTTCGCGATCGGATACTCTGCTGCGTTGTCTGGGTGTAGGCAGAGGTGGTCGCTGTGCGGAGTATACGGTAGGTGTTAAAGGGGAGAAGGTTGTTGAAAGCAGAGATAAAGGAACAAAGACGAGTCGTGGCGAAGGCTAAAGGGAAAGAAAAAAAACTTTTCGAGCTTGATCTCGTGAGTTGGTGCAATCTTGGGGCCAAGATCCCATGCGAGAAAGAACGAAATGACGGCAGCTCGTTCGCTCTTGGCGCACGTTTGCGGCCACCGCAAGGCAAGGGCTTCAAGGCCACCAGCTTCCCTCTCTTTCTCTTCTCTCGTTCGCTGTCTCTTTCTTCAAAACCAGAAAACACCTTACAGATCCCTCCCAAGACCTCTCTCAATGACCTACACACGGTGACACGATTGACTCGTTATCAGAGAGCTCCACTCCGGGAAACAAATCTTTTTTTCTGGTCTCCGCAGGGGCCCGTTTGGTGGACACGCGGACCCATCGTGATGGATCGATTCAATGCCGGCACAACCAGTTCGATCAGGCGACGGAATCACGTTGAATCGGCGGTGGTGTCAGTAGTGTCTACTCCGATAACGCAGGTCGATTGAATCAAGGAATACATTCAACATAATAGTGTTCATATAAACATGTGTCGCAATTGATCTTCGTACCCATCCTTGCTCTGTCATAAAGTCATGGCTTCTATTTTCATTAGAAGACCGCATCACAGCAACCTCGTCAGCCCGCAGAATCAGGGTTCGACGGGACTTGTACATCAGCTGTATTTATTGAAACCAGAAAGCATCGGTTATGCCATCGAGGGCCAATCCTTGACTATAGGCTCTTTCAAATTCCATATTCCATACACCATGGGCTCCGCGCACTGCATATTCGCCTTTCCATTTCTTCTTGTCCTCCTTGTACGAGGCAGCGCCCACATGTTGCATCAGGGGAGGAGAAATGGCTAGGCGATCATAAAATAGGTCGTTGCCCAGTCTTTCGATCACCGTGTCCACCGCTTTGGGCTGTCGCGCGTCCTCCATCTCCTCGAGCCGGTCTATGAGGTCCGGAATTGGTGCGCGAGGAAAGACGAGCGCTTGCGAGCAGCAGCCGTTGCGATTCATCAAATGGATGCCGGGTTTCAGAGGGCGCATGGTCATTCGGCCCGACATGAAGTACAGGCCGATCATCAGCGGCACGCAGACGAAGCAAACGATCGCCAGGAAGAGGTTTGACAAGATATGATGCGACGCTCGCGCCTTTCTTCGTGCATAGAGACCCATGGAGGCGATTAGGGAAACGACGGCCACACTCCAACTGAGGTAAATAGGCCAGTGTTCCGAGTTCCATCCGAGGAATTTCTCGGTGTAAAAGAGTCGCAGGTAAAGCCAGTCGTGGACCAGACCATTCCGCTTCCATTCATCGATTCTCCGAAGACTCTCCATCGTTTGGGCGTACCATGACTTGTGGGCCAGCACGTCATCCTCAAGCATCACGAACCAAGAGGCATCCGTGTCCTCATAGCATGACTGGAGCGACAGCCGGTAATCGATCAGAGACTTCTTCTTGATATTGCCCACCCGTTCCAGGTGCCGCAATGACCGCCGGTGTTCGCCAAAATCGTCGTACGTGAGAACGCGGTCGATGGCGTTAGGAACCCAGGGTTGTTGATAATCGGGGTGGTCCGTGGCGTTGGTGAGGGCGAATAGCACCTGGACGGCAAGCGTCGAGCGCTGTTCCGGCGTTAGTTTGTCGAGGATGGAGCCGATGGTGGTATCGAAATTTTGGTGCAGAGGCCGCTTCACGGTGACAATGCCGACGCAGACATCCACGTTGCGAATCGGGGCGCTCCGATTTCTGGCGGGTTGCGCCGACAATTCGGCCGACTGGTTTAAGGTGGACAGAAATTGCAGCGATTCCTCGATGCGCTGCGGGCTGTACAGCGGTCGATAGCCCACCTTGGGCTGGAAGAAAGCCGAGCCGGGATCCCGAGCGGAATTGAAGCGGCAGAAGATAAGCAGCAGGAGATAAAGGAGAGTGAAGGAGGCTAGGGACAACCTTTGCTTCTTATTGAGGAGCCCCATCTGGCCGCGATCATAGTGGAAGTGTTGATGATGAAAGAGCGGGAGAGGAGGATGAAGAAGAAGAGGAGGAGGAGGAGGAGGAGGAGGAGAAAGACGAGATAAGAAGATGTGGGACGACGGGCAGCATAAAGGGACTCATGATTTTCATCAGAATAGCCCGACTAAGGCGTGATAAACAGAGTCTTGGCTCAGGTCAAGCCTCGCACTAGGCCCCGACAGGCAATTCCTATTTCCCACAGAGCGCCGGGTGCCTTCCCACTCGGGTCTAGACTCGGGGCGAAACAAGCACCGCCGGGTGGACCCCGGGAGCCCTGGGCATTGGCTCTGCCCGGGCCCTGCAGCGGCCAGTGGCCCCCGGTTTCATCCTGAGGTATCCATATTCCCTATTGGGCCCAGGTGTTGTGACTTGTGTCGAGAGAATGTGTTAATAATAGCGACGAGCTGTTTCCCTTTGCAATTTGCAGTCTCTCTACTGACAAGTCTGATATACACCGGAAGGATCCAGGCTCGTATTCTGTAGCTGATCCTCTCCACTCACAGAATCCTTCACTCTGCAACGGAACGTCAATCCCACCGAAATAAGTAGTTATCTCCTGGAGACCTTAAATACGAAGTCTCAAAGATATACTCCTTCAGGCATTGACTCCAGAGTGAGCATCGTGGCTTCTGACACTTGATAATGAGTTGGCCGGTCACGCGGAAGAATGTCAGGGATCGGCCCGTTGCATCGGTATACCTTCTTCTTGTTCTTCATCTTATTTTGTTTATTTTATTCAGTTTCGTTTCTGGTCTATTCTGCTTTATGCATTCACAAGATCACTCGGCCATTGAATGTACAGTACCGCTATCAATCACTACCCCAAACATGAACGGCGCTTAGGCGACCCCTTGCGGGGTCAGCCCCGGAATCCATCGCCATAGCCGCGGATGCCGAGGTTCCTCCACCCGAGTCAACGGGGATATCTGGTATCAACTATACATGGTACGATATCATTTGAATACTCGGCAAACTACCATTGAACATCGGATTTTGCATACATACTCAATCAACTTCATTTCGTCATTATGCCACCCAATCCTTCTATCGAGATCCCCACTTCGTACGAAACGCTACCGACAACTCACATCAAGCTTTCGCATCATCCTGCTGGAAGTGCATCCGCAACTCCCGTTGTAATCATCACCCTGAACCGCCCGGAGAAGCGCAATGCTTTCACACCTCAGATGGCCGATGGCCTGGAGAGGGTCTTCGCCACGCTGGATCTTGATGAACGTGTCAAGAGCGTGGTACTGACCGGCGCTGGGTCTACTTTCTGTGCCGGAGCAGATCTTGAGATCGGCTTCCGTGGAGGGCCAGAGAGAGCTGGCGATCATCGCGATAGGTACCCTGGCCTCCACCCACCAAGACTGGCCATGAATGATAACCAATCCCATCTAGTGGCGGTCGAGTTGCCCTGGCTATTCACAGATGTCGCAAACCCACCATCGCCGCGATACAAGGGTCGGCCGTCGGTGTTGGAATGACCATGACCCTTCCGGCTGTCATCAGGTAGTCACCAGTTCCCTCGCAGTCAGTATTCTGTGATGCCGCTAATTGGTTATGACCTACAGAATCGCCCACGAGAAGAGCAAGTACGGTTTTGTGTTTGCCCGGCGCGGCATCACTATGGAATCTTGTTCCTCCTATTTCCTCCCCCGGTTGATAGGATACTCGCGGGCCCTGTACCTAGTCTCCACTGGCGGCGTGTTTCCTGCCATATCCCCTCACTTCGACGGCTTGTTTGCCGAGACATTGCCCGAGCAAGCGCAGATCCTACCGCGCGCTCTCGAATTAGCAGCCGAGATAGCACAGAACGTCAGCCCCATGGCGTCTGCGCTTAATCGCGCCCTGCTGTGGCGGGGATCGGAATCGGCTGAAGAAGCCCACTTGTTGGAGTCTAGCATCATCTCGCAGGTGTTTGGCTCCAAGTATATCTCCCGTTCTATATCCCCTGGATCTACATGTGCCGAGACTGACGCTCTTTCCAGGGATCAATTGGAAGGCGTGAAGGCCTTCTTTGAAAAGCGCAACCCCGACTTCACGGCCACCTTGGAGGAACATGGGCCGGCGAATTATCCATGGTGGCATGAAGTGAACATCCATACGAAACCGAAAGCTGTCAAGGAGACGTCTAAACTGTAGACTCCGTCGTCTGATATTCGAATGCCGCAGGGAAGCATCTTTCCCAGCCAAATCATTCATTTTTGTATTCGACAATTCACGTGCAGTCGCTGAAGTAGTAAAGATAAATACTCATACAAGGAAAATATACCAACAAAGGGGGAAAATCGGAGACAAAAGACTGCAGTATGTAAATACCAGGGAAGCCACGCGCACATAGACCTTATCTCCGAGCACAATCCAAGATAAGCCGAGTCTCTAGATGATGAAGCTGCGTCTCTTACGGTTGTACGCCCTCTGATCCTTCAACCATTGCCGGTATCCTTGAACGCTGCCAATCTTCTCTCCGTAGTAGTCGGGAACAGGGTTGGCGATCGAGTTCGACGAGGGGTCGACACGGAACCGCTTGATCCGGTCAAAGAACTCTTTCTCTTTCTATTATGCCATGAATTGTTAGTGACCGCTAGGCTCCACGCGGAGGGCGGACGGTACTTGCCACTGCCACTGCTGTGCTGTATCTCCGGTAGACCAATCCCCAGACCGCATTGCCGACGAAGGGGCCGATCAGCCAACCCGCGGCGCCACATGCGGCCGTGGCCATTCCCAGCACAACGAAGGGGTCCAGGCCCATCACCTGTGCCCCCATGTGTTCCAAGTCTTGCGTTGAGAGGACCTGGACACCAATGACCGTGCTTGCCATAGACGTGATGATCGAAGAGGCAAGCGTGTACCTCCGCCGCGATGCGCGGAGCTTGAAGAACGAGTTCCAGTCCAATTTGGAGGCCTCATGGCGAGAGGCTTCCGAGATCGTCGAGTTGGCTCGCAGGGAGACGGTGCGGTAGATTGTCGAAGAGGAAGGGATTTGGGGCCGAGCGGTCGTCTTCAAGGCGGCAGCGCTGGACTGGAAGGCCTTGGTCTGAGCTGCTGATGTACTAGCGGAACGTGCCTGGGAGATCGCATGATACAACGCGGTTGAGCCGGTAGGGCCGGCGAAAGGGGCTCGAATGGATGCGGAGAAACAGCCACTAAGTGTGACACTGCGCGCCGGGACACTGAGCGAGGTAAGATGCATTGTGAGAGAGGACTGGGGTCGAATTGCAGGTGGGAAGGCGTCAAAAGGTTGCGGTTCTGCTGAGGTTTAACCGCCAAACCGGCGGGAGGAGCTATGTCCGGCTTATGTAAGCATTGGTGGGTCACGGGCGCCTTCGAGTGAGGTCATTTTGCCCTGCTAGAGCTCAATCTTTCCCTTCTTCGTTTCCCCCTTCGAAAGTTGTCTTACATTTTCATCTCGTTGCATTCGTTAAGGAAACTACATAATAACATCCATGGACACTATAGCTTCAAACTCTTGCTCGACGAAAAGATGGTATTAGCTCTACCAAAGTACCAAGAATCTCATAGTCGTGATACATAGACCTATCGGAGTAGCTATCAACAAACATCATCAAAGCTTTCCTCGTGGCTGCATAGAATTGTTGGCTCGCTCCCTCAATTCTCGTCGAAGAATCTTGCCGGACGAGCTTTTTGGAATCTCCTTGACAAACACTACGCCTCCCCGGAGTTGCTTATGATGAGCAAGATTCAGCTTCACGAAGCCTTTCAGTTCCTCTTCGGAAACAATTGCATTGCTTTCCCTCACGACGTAGGCTTGAGGAAGCTCATTGCCTGGTGCAACTGGATCCTTCACTCCGATCACTGCGGCATCTGCGACACTATCATGGCTCAAGAGCAGTGCCTCCACTTCAACCGGAGAAACCTGAAGACCCTTATATTTAATTAGCTCCTAGGCACATCGTTAGCATATCACGCCCATTTGTCTCTCTCTGTCAGCTCGTTCAAATCTTACTCGAACCTCACTTATACTCACCTTCTTCCGATCCACCATGTAAATCCTCCCATCCTTCCACACGCCGATATCCCCTGTTCGGAACCAGCTGTCCTGGGTGAAGGCCGCGGCACTTGCATCGAGATTGTCAAAATATCCTCGGGTGACCATCGGCCCTTTGATTAGTATCTCCCCCTCCGCTCCCTGCTCCACGTCTTGAGCATGACCATCTACGATGCGCAGCCTTGTGTTTGGCAGCAATGGACTGATGCTGCCTGTATTGTCAGACTGGCCCCAAGGCATCGTTGTCACACTTCCGGTCGATTCGGTCAATCCCCATCGTTGGCTAATCGCACAACCCAGTTTCCCCTCCGCCCGCTGCTGAACCTCCACACTCAACGGCGCTGCTCCCGACTCCGCGCGAATAAGGGATTTGAAATGATTGGTCACTCGCGTGTTCTCTGCGATCGCCAGATAAACAGGAGGAGCTGTAGATAAGAACGTGATCTCGTGTCTTCTACAGTAGTCGATAAAATCGCCGATGTTGAACTTCGGCATCCAGTAGACCGTTCCACCGGCCACAGCTGGCGTGACGAAATATCCCTGGCAGCCTGCAATATGGGCCGTGGGAAGATGGCCGATAGTACGGTATGGAGCGTTCAAATGCGGTATCCCCTGCCGTGATTCGCGCAGCACCAGTTGTGGCAGGAGGGCTTCAGCGACGATATTCATGTGGGAAAGCATCACTCCCTTCGGGGGTCCCGTCGTGCCACTCGAGTACAATAAGCATATGAGCCTTTCTTCCAGCGTCGTTCGGTCCGTGATGGCATCCCAGCTCAATTGGTCACTGGAGTCGAAATAGTTTCGTCTGCGATGAACTGTATCGGCCAGCAGGCGCTTGTGTCCCATACTTTCAAGCACAAGGACTCTATCCTCTGCGAGTCCACACTCTCGCGCAGTCACCAACGCCTTTGTCTGGTTCTCCTCGCTCGTCACTATCAGTCGGGCTTTCGATTGTCGGGTCTGTCGCATCAATTCCAACGTTGTCATGGCCGTAGACGCTGCGGCATATACACCGCCAGCGGCAATGATCGCGTAGAATACGATTGGTAGTAGAACCTGATTAGACGAAATGCAGAGGACTGCATCCTGACCCGGTCCATGTTCACCGATGCCGAACTCGAAGCGAAGAACATGCGCGGCACGCTTCGTGATTGTTCGAGCCTCGGCTTTCGTGACGTTGTTTGTCGGATCCGCCGCCTCTGCGTGCAACACGGTCGACTCGTCGCTCAACGAGAGAGGCGACTCTGTAAGCCAGTATTAGCGCCTGCACCGAAATTGGGATTGGGTTTCTTATGCTACTTTCCGAATATTAACGATAGTAAGTCAATGTCTGGTAAGGGGTAGTCTTTTTCCGGTTTGTACAACATTATTCCTTAATTTTCCCTTGTCTTTTCTTTTTATGATAATGCAAGAGGCCAGAGTTCTATTATCACTCTTCATATAATGAGTGATGACTCCCAAGTAACTTAAACCTGGGGAAATGCGGGGGATCAACCACGGCTGCTCCTCGGTGCTCGGCTACGAACTCGTCTCCTCTTCCACCGTCCTACCGACACTCGCGAGGGAAAAATTTCGCAAATTTCTCAACGCAGCCTGATCTGTATATTCTAGATCTATCAAGTATCTATATGACTATCTAGCTCTATCTCTTGAGATTGTCATCATATCGTACTAACCATCCTATGAACTACAGGCCGTCATTCTGTTTCACAGATCCAGGACGAGCTGCCGGAGAACGGGCGGTCCCAAAGCCATTCACGCGGCCATAGAGCCACTTGAGCGTCGCGGTGCTGATAGCCATCACCACAGCACTCAACACGAATAGTCCAACGCGGCCTTCGAACGGCACTTGCTCGAAGATGGGATACGGATACCTGATACGTGTGGGTGAGCCACCCGTCTGCGTAGGAGCGATCTTGGATGAGTGATGACTTACCATCCATTATGAGCAAAGCAATACTCAATCCAAATCCAGTAACCAAAGGCGATCGTGCTGGACAAGCCCAGCGCCGGCACGATAGTGATGGTCCAAGGTGGAGACAGTAGCAAGAGGTCGATCAATAAAACGATGGCAGGGACCGCGTGAAAGCTCACATCTTGAGTTCAGGTTGGAGGTTAGGTACTGGGCCCTCTCCCCCCCTCTCTCCCCCCCTGGGTGCATAGGCTTACCGGCATTTAAAGGGATCACGGTCCAGGCGGGAATCACCAGGCGTTCATCAATCTATTCGACTGTTAATCCAAACATCCAGCGAGATCAACCAGGATCAAGTTCTCGGCTGCTCACCAGGCGAAGGCTCCAGTAAAGAATGCTGATCAAGACTTCCATGGGCGCGCTGCACATGGACAACAAGTTCTTGAGCAGGAACAACCGAGGCGATAACGTCACGTCCGCCGCCAACCCAACGGCGAAAGTAAGAGTCGACAGAGTTAATCCGATAACCGTTAGGTACTGGAAATGCCACCCATAGGCTTCGTTTCTGGAGAGTCGTTAGTATTTCGCGAGAAATCCTTACCGCGGGATCAAGAAGACTTACGCGCGATTCGGATTGTCGTGCATACTGGAATCAGATAGGAGTCAGTCTATGAGCTGAGGAGATCCCGAACACAGGTAGCCGTTCGACTAACCGATCCGGTAGTTACATCATGCTATAAGGCATTGGACCACTGCAGTTCGTATGCATGTACAGTGCGATATGAGCAGGCAAAGAAGGGCATGACTTACAATTTGAAGGACCATATGAAGCTGCAGAGACCGACAAGCTGCCGTGCCAAAGAAGGAGTCAGCAATCGCGCAAACGAGCTCACGTCGGAAGCAGTAACAAGTGACGTACATGAACCAAGGCCGAGAAGCCTCTGGATGGACTCGAGACTCGCTGCAGGGGATGCTTTCTAACAAGGGAGCGAGCCGCCGTGGAATCATCCATAGTTCAGAAAACGTTCAACTACAGGGTAGGGGGGTAGCTAATGGGGGGAATGATTGATCGGTCGAGAGCTGTAGTGGTTGGGCGTCAATCGGAGTACACAGCTGAGATGATTCTACACAGTGGAGATAGACCAGAGCTATCCAGACGGGGGCCCGGGGACGTCTTAGGAGGAGATAAGGCAACGTGAAAGGAAGATGAATAGCTGGTCAAAGGTACAACCCACACTGTATCCAGCTTAGAGAGAAGATTGTCGATGATTCTCGCTGTCGTGGCATCGGGCTCACGTGAATGCGTATTCCCGACGCATCCGGGCTGACTAAGGAATCTGTGCATGTAGTTGACTATAACTAGAGATTCTTGGCATTGTTCTACCCTGATGAGTTACCGCATTTACGAAGAGTACTATAGATGTAGATAATGGAGTTTCATTCCGCTAATTCCTTGTGGACATTTGATCGCCAGAGTGAGTAGAAACGCAGAACTAAATACATGCCGCCTTGCAATATTAAAATTTTCCCCCTGCTCTTGCTTCTGCCCCAACACTCCCATTCAAAGAGGAAAAGAAAAGAAAAGAAGGCCGGCGGTAAAACCAAGATCTAGTTGACGAAGCCGTGAAAAGAGGCCGGCCCTAATTCCAGATGCCGATGTGGGGATTGATCTTGGTCTACTCAGGTGGCGATGGTGGCGATGGTGCCCTGACCGGCGATGGAGGCAGAGCGCAGAATTGCTTCAAGAATCGGAATTTACAATGACACAGACCAGTGTGGCCCTTCAGAAACTCACATGCCGCCGCCGCCGCCTTAATCGAGTGGAAACGAACGTAAACCTCGCCTGCCAGATGGCCCTCTTCGATGCTTTCGAGTTCGGCATTCCAGGGCTTCATAAGAACTCGCGAGATGCTTTCCTTCGGACTGCCATGAGCATCGTACACACAGAGGCACCGCGTATTGTTCTTATCAAAAATCATCCTCTCCATTTCCACGGGCATGGGGTAAGTGGGAGTGTTCACCGGGATCACCTGGGCCAACACCAGTCCCAAATCCAACCCATTGTTCGAGGCCTGGATGAAGCGCACCGCGTCGACTTGCGAAACGAATGTGACTATGGCGGTATTGGATCCGATGATCGGCCGGGTATTCACCAGACGAGCACAATATATCTCTCCCGGGATGCTGGGTAGGACCTGACTGAGCTTCATGTTTGCAGGGAGGCCTTGAATGCGGACGGTCCGATAGATGTTCTTTTCCTGGCTGGATGGGATGTAGCGCACGCCGTACTGAAATATCCAGACGTCGTGGATCCGTTGCCGGGATAGCAGGTTCGGACGGTAAGTCATGGCCTCGAACTCCTGGTTTGAATTGTCAAAAACACTACAGCCCTTGATGGCCCACTGTATCTTTCCATCCCACGGAACGACTTCGGCGCTTTCGCCATCCTTAAGGCTGGCCATAGTCTTTCCGAGTAAGAAAAAAAACCCGTTAACCAGATCCTGTGGAGTTGGTAGTGTTGAAAGGGCACGTACAGATGGAAGACTGACTACAGGTCTGGGCCTGTGGTGCACCACGACAGGTTGCAGAATTGGAATCTGGATATCATCCAGAGCGCTGTCCAGGATGTTGGAGAGCTGAGATGGTGTCGGGGAGTGAGAAGGAGGCGCAGATCTGACGGAAGTGGTCGCCTTGTCTGTAGAGTGAATACTGTCGGTGCTGTCGGTGTTATCCTCACGCTCGGAGAAAGGATGCACCGGCAGCTTTGGTGGATCCATGGTGACGAAGTGAATTTTGACGAAGGATAACAGGAAGAGGATGGAAAACACAAGAGGTGGGAGAAGCAGGAAAAGGAAAGGGTAAACAATGGCAAAATTACTGTCGGGGGTTAGATTACGCCCCTCCATCTTGGGCGGCCGGCAACGTTTCGTTGGGATTTGGCTGAATTGGCTGCACACAAGAATAGAACTATATCTAAGTTTTGAATCACTTGGGATCAGGCTTCCAGTGAGAGTTTTCAGGCTGGATAGCAATAGAAAACCAACTCAGCAGTACCAGAGCTTGCCACGAGAGTATAGAAAGAAAAGCCAATATGGCTGGTGGATGGATGGTGAAGATGGTGAAATGAGTTTGAAGTGGATCTCAACAAACGGAGGATCAAGAAGAAATGATAATTGATTGCTCTTGGGTTCGCAGCGGTGTTTGGAACAGTGGAACGTGTCTTAGATTAAACGTGCAGAAGAGCCAGTTGGAATTCAATCGCTAACAGAAAGGCGTTTGATACGATTTGAGTTTGAAGAAAGGACAAAAAGGATAGAGCAAGGAAGTAAATTGGCTGGAACGAATGAACTGGCCCATCTGCGCTGCATTTACTTCCTTCTTGCACCGTCTCCGTGTCTATACAGCCATTCAAAGACCGCAACATGATAGAACTACCTGCAGCTTCCCCAGAAAATGACGCTTGAACGGCGATTGATTGACTGCCCAATTTAGCCCAGGAACTCTCCTTGAGCAAGGGCAATCCATGGCCGGTCCTCCTTCCAGCACTTTTGCATCAAGGTGCGAGCATTCTGGATCTAACTCAAGTCAGCCATCGAAAAATATGGGATTCCTCCATCACACTACTCACCTGCTTCAACCCCGTGCTTTCCAGACGCTTAAATCTTGCTTGTATCTCTGTTCGCTGTTCAAGGTCTCGGAACTCACATCCTACAGTGAACAGTGGAAAGATGGAGCCAACCTCGACGGGCGATCCCGATCGGATCAGAACCAAGGATTTCGCCAGCTCTTCAAGAGCCTTCTTCAGCGCTGGCGAAGAAGAAGAGGCACCCAGAACCCGGCATTGAAGATGGACCAGACCGGCGTAGCGGAAAGCTTGGTCCATAGCTACAATGTCCGTGGACATCGAATCCTGGAAATGTCTCCCATTCGCATGAGTGTGCATATTGAGGATGTCGAGATCGGCGAGCAAGGTTTGTGCCTCAAAGATAATGTCTGCCGAAGGCGTCCATTCCAGGATAAAGGCGCCGGTCTCATCAAACCGCTCATTATCGCATTGGTGCACTAGTTGGCCAAGGCGCATTAGAAACAGACCTGTGCGAGGCGTGAATCCGGTGAAGCAGTCTGCACTGTACTCGTCGTATTTTTCTCCTATACAACATGTGTTCAACGAGGAGAAATATGCAAGCAGTGGAGGTTCGCTGTGGCGGCAGGATAGAGTCCCCATGATATCAAGATACCCCAGCCAGCGGATGAGAAATGCGCCGACACGATTGCCAGGGTATACCATCTGCTCTCGACGTGCCAGAAAGAGGTCACGGGCCAGCTTGAGATGACTTTGCCAGGGGATGGGTACCTCGAAGGTGCTGGGGGACACGATTTTCAAGGAAAGTAGCATTATGGCCGCAGCAAGGTGATTGTCGGTGGTCTTTTTGTGAGCATCTTCTAGCGCAAGACGCAGTGCGGGGAAGACGCTGCTAACCCAGTGTGCAATCCTGTTGGCAGGCTCTGGATGTTTCAAGTACCTGGCACGATGGCTGGCGGAATATGCCAGCATCAGATTCAAAAGATTGGAGTCCCCGACAGCCACTGATTGATTAGCATATATCCAAGTGCAAACCGAGGCGGGGTGGGACTCACTGCTTGGGAGGACCGTTATGAAAGGGTTGTTGCCACAGTCATGAGGGACTAGCATCCTGGCGGTGTGGTTGAGAAAATGATGGAAGTACATCAGGTTGATGGGGGTTTGCACCAATGTGGCTGGCAAAGGAGACAGATACCGGGGGATGTTTATGGGAACGGCAGACTTGTAGTAGGCATAATTACAATCAAAGCAACTAGCTTTGGCCTCTTTCTCTGGCGAGCCAGGCGCTGCGGTATCAGAGAGGGATTCGCCAGGCTGATTCACCAAGTTTAGAGCAGAATTGATATCAATTGCTGAGTGATCATCGTTCTGGTTTAGATCCCGATCTGGGTGGCCGCAATCTAATCCGTAATTGTCCGTGACACTTGTCAGGTAAGTGTACCATTTCCTTTGCGAAGGAGTAGGGCCACCAGGCCCCAGGACAGCCCTTTCACGAGGATATTGTGTAGCATCCACTCCATAGTGGTCAGATGTGCCATCTTTTAGTGATCGGAGAGGCTCGTTCATGGTTGTGGTGCAGAAATCCTCTGCAGAGACGGGCACGTTGGACAGTAGGGCCGGGTCTCTTTGGGAAGAAGCAGATAGCGGAAAACCATCCCGACTGGGTAAGCTATCAGTTACATCTGGACCGGGAACGCCGATCAGGTGGCCATCGTACCATTTTGTGAGTCTGTGACTGTCCTGTTCGACTGGTAATTGGCGTACAGATTGTTTTGATATGTCGGCGGATTGCCGAAGAAAGGAGATCGGTTGCGACACTGTGGCAGGAGACCAATTCAAAATGCCCAAAGAGCCAGTGCTTGAGCCGGTATCCGCTGGGGATTGATACGCTAAGGCGTCTAGGGGTGACGCAAAAGACGGCGGGTGGTCGGGAATCGTCTCACTAGACAAGGGAGCTTGGGACATGGCTGGCCATGAAGTCGCGACATCTCTACCCCGGGACGGTGGACTTAGCTCTACTGGTGTCTTATCATTTGTACGATAAGGAGGCCTAGACGTCTGTTCGGGGACACTCGGGGATTCATGAATATCATGTAACCCTCTAGGGATTGGGGTTTCTGCCATCGTCTCTGACACGAATTCAGGTTCCCAGAACAGATTCTCCATGGCTTGCTCTTGTACATTACTCCCCTCAGTGGTATCCAAGGTATCAATGGGCGGAGTGACATCTGTCGAATCCAGTTGCACGTCTGGCGGTGAGAGGGCGAAGAAGAATTGGGCGGACTGGACGCTGGATTGAGAACTTGGAGAATCCACCGAAGACCTTCTTCTCGTCCTCCCTCCCCAGTTTAAGCGAATGCTGTAGTCACAATTTTCATTCTGACGCCGACAATTTAAACAGAAAGGCTTTTCTTCTCCGCTGTGGCCGGATATTAGTGAGCTTTTTCGGCGCAGTGATACTCTGTAACCATTCGGGACAGAGGGGATAGCTACAGACCATTTCACTTTGCGTGCTTTGCAGGGCCTGGATACCAGTTAGCCTCTCAGATAGCATCAATTGCACGCGGGCAAACCCTCTCACCAGCAGCCTTTGCGAGACCTCCGTTTGGGCTCAGGAGCACCGGGCCGGCGAGGGCGAGGCATTGGAATTCAGATAGGATTGGCCAAATACAAGGACGACGAAAAACAGATATAGCGATAGCACGAGTCACAGGCTCGGAACATGGAGGAGATCCGATGAATTGTACAGTGCGAGATAGCCATGCAGACAGACAGAGTCCAGCAGTCTTTTACGAGATTGATCAGACTTTGCAGAATGTCGATTGCCTTTTACGGCGGGTTGATGGTTTGACCCAAGAGGACAGGAAGCGATAATCGACGAGGCACCCACACCTGGTATTTGCACTCATCGAGGTGTGGGATCACACGGAAGAAGTTTCAGGCAATTCAGTCCTACGTGTAGGCAAACGAGGTCACAGCGTCGATTGGCAATAGAACCTAGAAGTACTACACTAGGTAAAGTTTAGTATGAGAGACAGGAGCGAAGTTAGGAAATAGATTGGTACCGAATTAGCAGAGGCGAAGGCCTAGTTGACTAGGGAGACGGATTGGCGATGGACAGCCGCAATACGCTGATGGATAGCTAGTAGTAAAATGATGGATAGAGAGTACGAGTACCCAGGTAGTTAGAGCCGGCTCATCTGCTACTTAAAAGTCCTCCGACTTGATGGAGCGGAGACGACGGGCCAGTCGATAAGTGAGCGATAACGCTAGCGCCCCATTCGGCCGTCTCGTTCAATCGCCGTCCACGTGTGGGGTCGCTTATGTCAGCCGAAAAGCCCGCCGGTGTCGCGGTTGTTCCGGCCGGACGGAGGCCGAGGAGACCGATGCCCCTGGTAGGCCTGAGGCACCAAATGCCCTTCCTCATGACATCGATACTTATCAAGGTCAACTCACGCAGTACAACCCACGGCAATGTCCTCCCTGGCCAGTCTTAGAAACAGTACCGGCTGCCTCCAGTGTAAGCCCGGGCCTCCATGTACTGAAGTACTGTACCTACCAATACCTCTTGTTCATTGTGTCGACCAGGCCGGAAGCGACGTAAAAAGTGCGACGAGACTCGGCCGCGATGCACGGCATGCATTCGCAATGAGCTGGACTGCGAGTGGCCATCGGGTGATAATCAACCTCTAGATGGTCGACACCGGCAATTCAATAGTGATCGGGTCACTGTGCGAGCAGTAACATCTTCGAGGCTGTCTTTGATTCAACTCTCGCCTCCCGTTGTGATGCCGGCACCCTTCCAGTCAGACGAAAACGCCTACCTTTATTGATATTTTGTCTCCACGGTCTTACCCCGTCTTTTTCGGCAGAGCTCGCTTGACCAAACACACATGCTGCTCCTCGCGCCGCAGTTCTCCCCACTGTTCGGCGCAATGGTCTCCGTAGCTGGAATGCAGTTACCATCTACAGCGCGGTGGCCTTTTCATTTTGCCTTGCAGGGCTATCTACATGCGATTCATTCACTCCAGACGTCATTAATGGATGTTACAAAAGCTGGCTGTGACCACCGGGTTCTAGCAACTGATCCTGCTCTCGGTGTTCGAGGCATGTCGTTCCATTTTTATTTTCACTACTAGATGAAGGGTAAGCTAATCGAACCACTGTAGTCCTGTCGATCAGATGCGGCACCCACTGTCGGCCCCGAGAGTTCCGCACCAAAGCTGCAGCCACATTCGATCGCGTATGCATCGAGTCGTTTCTGTATCATGTGTGTCTGATGATGGTATTTGACCCCTCGCTCGACGCGCTTACAGAAGATCGAAACGATCTCGGGCTGCCGCTATATTTCGAAAAGCCCACAAATCAACCAGAAGAAACCATTCTGCAGACCTCCTACGGGTTCTTTCTCCTCATTGCCGACATCACTAGGCAATCTCGGCTATCTAGACCGCTCGACCGCGCCGAGGTCCTCAAATGGCGGAGCCTAGATCGCGAGCTATCGCGCTGGATCGGGCTCACTTCCTCTGCGGACATGACTCTTGGACTATGTTACCTGGCAGTCTGTATCCTGCTCCAGAAAACGAATCCAGGCATAACTTCAGCTGAGCGAAGCCGGCGAGTGCGCTCGTGTTTGGAGGAAGGGTTGCCGCGACTTCCCCTCTTGAATATAGAATGTTACCCACCTGTGTATCTGCTATGGCCGGTGGCCATCCTCGGGGCCGTTGCCGCAAGCCTCGACGAGAGAAACATTGTTCAAGATTGCATCGGCCTCGTTGTTGCCAAGAAGTTAGGGGGGCAGGGCGCGTGGGTGCAGAAGAGATTGGCGCGAATTTGGAAGGCCACCAGCTCTGCCTTTACGTCACCAGAACCAAATCTTGCCGGACTGCAAAGTCTGCTTGACGGGACGTGATTCCTGATTACCAACATGAATGTGATGTTGAAGCACATTAGTCAGTCTCTGCTCTGTGTAACCTCCGTTTTGACGATCTTGCCCGGTTCCGATGCTAGAGATCTCCACTTTATGAGAAACCCTCCAATCATCGATATTTGCGCGCTCAACACCATCAATGGACGGATCCATGACATATCTAGGTACACTATACTCAGTACTTACCTGCCTACTTTCTTGCCCTACTCAGGTACTATGGTACAGGGCAGCACGCCACCACGATAGACAACCTATAAAAATGGGCAGCCTCCCCCCCTCTCTCATCTACTTCCGTCACACTTTGATCCTATCTTTTCTTTATCCCTCAATCCTCGTCCTCAAGATAGCCGCGACAATTCCCTCCCTCGCCGAAGAGCGCTACCGCGACTCGCAGTCCTCGACCTTTCCACTCCCAACCAGTCCTTCCGAGCCTCTCCCCGGAGCCCTAGCAACGATTCTGTCTCACAAGTCCTACCGCGCCTTCCTCCGCGACAAGCCCCTTCCCAAGGGAACGCTGGAAACACTCCTTACGGCCGCCCAAAGCGGCTCGACCTCATCCCTCTACCAAACATGGGACGTCGTCGCCATTCAAGACCTCGAGCATAAGTCCAAAGTTGCGACGCTCGCAGGCAGCCAAGACTTTATCCGTCAGGCGCCCCTATTTCTTGCATTCTGTCCGAATCTGCGCCGCCTAGACAATCTTTCAAAGCAGTATGAACAGCAACCGGCTAGGGCGCTGGAGAACATGGACATGTTTATCATGAGTGCCCTGGCCGCGGCGATCGCGGGACAGACTGTTGCCATCGCTGCCGAGTCGCTAGGCCTGGGGATCTGTTACGTCGGCGCACTCCGGAACAACGCCGAGCAGATCTGCGAACTGTTGAACATACCGCCGTTGACGTGGGGTGTATTTGGGATGGCGATTGGGTATGCGGATTCTGAGAATCAGCTCTCCGGCAAGCAGATTAAGCCGCGCCTGCCGAGGCGGGAGATTGTCCATATGGAGCGATAGAGCGAAGAGGGACAGAAGGAGAATGTTGCGTCTTATGACAAATCGCTTGGGGCGTTTTATGTGGATGAATCGAAGTTTGGGCGAAAGGGGTGGGGGGAGGTTGTAGTGAGCAAGGTTGCGCCGCATAAGCAGGATGGGAGGGAGAGAATTCGGGGGGTCCTGGAGAAGCAAGGGTTTAAACTTGCATAGGTGATAGAGTGCCTTGTCCGACTTGTTTATATCAGAGAATAGAGTAAGGTCTACAGGACTATGCTATAGTACAAACTACGGAGTATATGATCGATTCGCCCTTTTTGGAACGTATTTATTTGTAGATCGACGCAACCCGGAGATCACCAAAAGAAAAGGAAAAAAGAAATCTCCCCGACTGGGAGTCGAACCCAGGTCTCCCGCGCTCGTTCTCAGTTGAGTGACAAGCGGAAATCATGACCGTTAGACCATCGAGGAATTGATGAGAAGAATTGGCAGAATAGTGCAATATGAGCCTGTACTACAGCCACACCTCAAAGGAAGCGAACCCCGCAAACTTGGCGTTCCCCATGCGGGCCTGCCCGGTGTCGATCGCTGCCTCTTTCTGCGCCTGGCGGACGATCTTCTCGTCCTTTCCCCAATTTGGCTTTCTCTCCTCGTCGCTCCCTGCCTTTCTATCCGTAGTTTCTACCCTCTTTGCTGCTTACCCCGGTCAGAACAATGAGGACGACAAAGACGCCGGCGTTCCTCACGGCCGACCGCTGACTCTTATAAATTGATCCGTTGCCCGCCCCGAGCTCCATCTTCCTTCTTAGCTATATCACCAATCGATCCGCATCCAGTGCCCACTATGGCAGACGAAAAACAGGCCGTCGAGGGCTTATCCAAGCCTTCCGATGTGGAGAAAACCTCCGACTCACATGAATTCCCCCGCAAAACCAAGCTCGACCTCTTCGAAGATCCGGACGAGGGACTTAGTGAGGAAGAGAAGGCCAAAATCGTGAGCCTCTTCTGCCTGTAGACGCATTCCAAAGGCCGCCATCGCTAATACACCCGTCAGGATCGGGCCTTACTATGGAAGCTCGACCTGCGACTAATTCCTTGGCTCAGTCTGCTTTACCTTATTTCGTTTTTGGATAGGTGACTCTGTCCGACTACTACCCCACGTAACCCCCTCCCGTCGCTGACGTCTCCGTCGCCAGAACCAACATTGGCAATGCCAAACTTGCTGGCCTCCAGGAGGATCTGAATATGTCCGACAACCAGTACAATGCCTCGCTGACCATCTTTTTTGTTTCGTATTCGGTCTTTGAGCCTTTGACCAATGTTTTGCTCAAGCGAATGCGACCCAGTATTTTCATTCCCATCATCATGGTTCTTTGGGTGAGTAGCCTCTTTGCCTGCTTTCGTCACGCTTGGCGATGCTAACTACCGGTGTCAATCGTGTTAGGGAATCTGCATGACATGCATGGGACTGGTGCATAATTACGCCGGGCTCATGGCGGTACGTAATGCCGAACTCTCCATCCCTTCGACGATGGAAAATCCCGGAATACTTGTTCGGGCACTCTCAGGCCGCCCGTCTCTAACGCTTGACATAGGTGCGATGGTTCTTGGGATTGGCGGAAGCGGGGCTTTTCCCGGGCGTCGGATACTTTTTATCGTGCTGGTACAAAAGATCCGAGTTTGGCGTTCGCATGGCCATCTTCTTCTCCGCGGCCGCACTTGCAGGCTCGTTCGGAGGCCTTCTGGCGGCGGCCATTGCTCTGATGGATGACATTGGGGGGAAGGCCGGCTGGTCTTGGATTTTCATCCTGGAAGGATTGGCCACGATCATCGTGGGCGTGCTCTCGTTCTGGATGGTCCATGACTTTCCGGACGAAGCCAAATTCCTCTCTGAGGCAGATCGCAAGCGGGTTCTGCGCCGACTGGCAGCCGACCAGCAGGCAAGTGCCGAACATGAACAGTTCAAGATGGCGTATTTCTGGAGCTCCCTGAAGGACTGGAAAACTTACACAGGAGCCGTCATCTACATGGGTGCGGACGCATGTCTGTACGCCTTTTCTCTGTTCGTTCCCACAATCATCAGCGAGCTAGTAAGTCATTGCGCACAACAAATCCCGGACCAAGTTGCTGACGGGATTTCAGGGTATGACACTGGCACAGTACTCGGGTCAGAGCCTCGGGGGGTCCGCTAACCGGGAGTAGGATATAAAGCAATCCACGCACAGCTGCTCAGCGTGCCTCCATATGCTGCAGCCGCCGTCGTGACGGTTACCGTCGGATTCATCGCCGACCGAACACGTCAACGTGGAATCGCAAACATCCTGGTGTCCATCCTGGGCATCGTTGGCTTCTGTATGCTTCTCGGGGCCTCGTCGCCGGGCGCACGCTACGCTGGCACATTTTTGGGCGCCATGGGCATCTATCCGGCCATTTCCAATACCATCTCCTGGACCAGTAACAATACCGAAGGTGAGGCGCGATCCCTATATCCCGAAACGATCCCAGATGATAGCCCAGGACTGACGATCGACCCCCGCGAGAGCAGGAGTCTATAAGCGAGGTGTTACCCTCGGTATAGTGATTGGTTGGGGCAACCTGAACGGTATTGTCTCGTCCAACATCTATCGGGGCAAAGACGGGCCCAAATTCTATCCGGGACACGGTACGGTGCTTGGATATCTAGTGGTCTTCTTGTTCGGCGGGTCATTGGTGCAGTATATTTTGCTCCGACGGGAGAATGCAAAGAGACGGCGTGGGGATCGCGACCATTGGGTGCAGGGACTGAATCAGAACGAAATCGAGCTTCTGGGGGACAAGAGACCGGACTTCATCTATACGCTGTAGGAGGTCAAGGCGCGGGTTTTGCCTGGCGCGTGCGACTTGACTCTGCCGATCGGGGTTGGTCACACGGGCCCCGGGCAATTATAGAAGCAGAGAATGAAAAGGAACTGTGCTTGGATGCCAATGGCTCGTTGACGTGAATCATGTACTCGTAAAAAAAGTCTATCCACATAGATTCAGCCGGCGTAAGGCTGCCGATGGCGCCATCTCTCGATCGCTCCTTCATCCTTCCCGCCTGTATAGATTCACGATATCCTGGTCCTTCTTGGGCCCCTTCACCACATGGCGACTCGACCAGCTCACTACCTCTCCGGACTCGGGACATATGCGAAATGCGTAGGCTGTGTGATACATGTCATTGATGCACAGGTGGTTCCCCCGGGCCTCCACCACCGCGGTCGAGGCGGCATCCCCGCCGGCGGCCGACCCGGGGGGTGGAATGGGCGCCGAGACGAGCGGAGTGTCCGTCGAGTCGGACGCAGTTGCAGCGACCTCGAACTCATGGAAGAGATAGTCCGGCTCCTCCTCGCCGTCCTGCGCGTCGGCCTTTTGCACCTTGGCAAACCACACGCTGACGCGCCCCGCCTCGCTCATGCGCCAGATGTATTTCTTGCTGAACCGCAACCCCGCGCCCAACCCAAGCACGGCGGGCATCTCGCCTTCCTCGCGATAGACCATGTCGGCCGTGTCGTCGGGACGATGGTCTGTGGACGGGACGCGCAGGGGCCTGAAGGTGGCGGTGCCCCGGAGTTCGCCCTGGATGTCTCTCGCATTGGTGCTCTTGAGGATTCGCACGAGGGACCACGGTCGCGAGGATCGGCCGAGGGAGGTGAATATCTGTGGTAATAGATTGGATGCCATTGTTAGGGAAGCCGGTTCGTTCGACATCTTTGAGGAATCAGCAGGGCGACGATGGGGAAGAGGACGAAGATCCCCGCCGCGACGAACTGAAGGCGGTTTTTCTCTTTGATCACGGGCGGAGTCGGGATCCACTCGTCTGCACTTCCACTTTCATCCTTCAATCTGGACTACTGAACACTGGTTGAGATTATCAATTATCTCCATGTCTGAGAGTGATTGGTATGATCAATGAATTTCGATTGATCTTTCGATCGCGTCGTCGTCGGAAGGTGAGGTATGCCCAACCACGCACTGACTCACAGATATATATTTCTATGAACCCACAATGGTCATCACTATGGAGGGAACAAAGTGGCGACATCAAGAACGCGACTACGACTACGATCGGGCAGACTGCAGACAATGCCAGGGGGCATTGAACCGATTGCCAATACTCGCAGCGATGGGATTCCCATCGCAACCAAACTGGCATGCGAGTAAACCGGATTTCGAGCCGAAAGAAGCAAGGCAGACAGTCTGTCAATTATTCCGGGGATGTTGCATCATCTCGCCTACTCCCTGTAGACTTGAAATGAACAAGGGAGACGAGGAATGATGGCGAGCACGCGCGTGACACATTCCTCCCCTTGGCTTGTCGACCGGCACGAGCGAGGGCAATAACCTGGCGCTAAGAATAGAGAGATTAATTCCAGTATGGAGTACCTTGTTGTTACTGGTAGGGCTAACTACTAAAAGTAACGAGTCTTTCTGACGTGGGCGAGAATCCGCCACGCTTGCGGCGCGACGCAAGCGGAAATGAACAGTCCAGGCATTTCCTCTCATCTAGTTCATCTTAGCCCTGAGTCGTGGCAAGAGAAGGCAAAAGAGACATTCCTACGATCGGAGAATGACTCGGATCTTGAACTTTCGCATATCCTGATCGGAGATAACACTAGAGTGATCATCACCTCCCATTGCTCTTCGACGTATGGAGTAGTTCCATGGAGACAGTAGATGAATAATAGGAGAGGGACGAACCGACCTTAATTCAAATTAGAATTAGAATTAGAATGAGATTGAGATTGAGAACACCGCCCAATCTCCCCCCAACGCCGCAAGCGGAAGGACACAATCGGTCGGAGTACCGGGGACATGCCATTGTATGCGCCCGCCCAGCAGTGACCGGGTACCAGGTACTTTGCAGCGAACCGGCGAACCAGTCTGGACCGTGCGGAGTCCCTTTTCTCCCTCTTTTTTCCCTTTTCTTCTCCCTCTTCTTCTCCTCTCCTCGTCCGTTGCTTACAATCGTCTGGGCCTCTTGCTCTCTCTTCTTCTTTTCTTCCACCTCCTCCTACCCCCGGTCTCTCTTTTATTCGACTTTTTCTCCCCTTCGATTCCCTCCCTCAGCAAAGTCAGGTCCCTGGATGATGGTGGGCCGTCTGTGAGCTTGTGCCGGTCTCCACCCCAAAGCCAACCAGTCTCCCTCCCAATCGTCCCTCTTCGTCGTCATGGCACGTTGGTCGTCGCCGACCGCGACCCTGCGATCGGGTCTCAAGTCGACTTCGCATGTTTCCTCTCGCCTCCTCTCCGTCTTTGTCTTTTTCCTCGTTCTGGCCACCGCCGTTCTCGCTGCCGACGACACATCGCTCTTGCCATCCGCCGCCTCCGATTCCTTCCCCCAATGTGGCCTGTCATGCAACAACCTGAAGCAGGCCCAGACTGGCTGCGTTCCTCCGGCCGCCCCGGCAAACGGCCATGCGACCTATGTTTCGTGCTTCTGCCAGTCAAGCCTGCTCTCGAATCTCCATAATACCGGCGACGGTACTTGCGACGACACGTGCTCTAGCGCCTCCGATCGTTCGTTGCTGCAGAAATGGTACAGCAACTACTGTTCCTCCGGGGGAAAAACCACGACCGCCTCGTCGACCAAAACATCTTCCGCCCAAAAGGACTCGGCGACCTCGACGAATACCGCTAAGGCTAAGGCCCAGAATGATGACCCCGCTCCTCCGTCCTGGTAGGTGATTGTTCCGTTGTCTGCTTGAAGTGTCGGGGAATGAAGTGGTTAACTGTTGACGGTGCAGGTGGTCTTCCCATTACCAGTGGATCATTATGGTAATCGTCCTTATCATCGGTTTTGCCTTCATCACCGTGCTGGGAGTCTGGCTTAAGCGGCGTCACGATGCCAAGTATCCCAGCCTCTACCATGCCGCCGGCACCGGAAGCACCGACAGTGGCCTGCTTTTCAATCGTGGGCCAAATGCAACCCCCAGTCCCGCCCCCGGTCAGCCTGGCGCCCCTCCGGGCGCCTGGGCTGCTAATCAAGCCCCGGGTCAGGGACAGCCGGCCGGCTATATGAACCCGGATTCGGTCGCTGGCAGTTCTCGCACCGAAGTTGCCGTTCCTCCGAGTCGGCCAAGTCGAACGCCGTCGCGTTTGCAAAAGAGCTCGCAGGCCGCGGACGAGGGTGATATCGAAATCCGCGAAGTCCCTCGGTGATAATGAACCCACTTATTTAACGTTGGCTAATTCCTTTTCCTTTGATTCTTCTTACCCCCGAAGCCCACCTCTCCAACTTGAAACAGCCAATTATTTGAGCGACGCCAGGTCCGGACACGATTTGTGTGAATTGTCTGGACACTAGAGCTTCTTAATATACAGAGCGGATCATTTATGAGACCGTCTCATGATATTTGCTGTCTGCTCGCTGGGTCCTGCTACAACTTTACTGCTAATGTTGCATATATCGGGCGTTGCGTATCTCCGGTTGGCTTTTAATAAGATCTATCGCGTGCAACTACTATTATTCGAGTCTTCCGCGCGGTGTTTGTGAATATGTCCCTTTCTTTCTTGGCGCCGTCACGTCTTGCTCTTAATTCCTATCATTTTATTGTATCTCTTTTACTTTTTGTCTGGCGGCGAGAATGGTCCTCGGACGCCATGCCATTTGCTTTGCTGACCCCATGGATGATGTCGACTCGGTATGAATCATAATGAATTCTCGGAGGCCTGAATGGCCCGTCCGGTTATCTTTTGATATGTGGCTCTCTCTGGAACAATTGATTTTGTAACAAGGAGAGGTGTGGACAAGAAAGATTACATTGCTGATGATAGAATCGCGTAGTATATTTTACAAAGTAGGCTTAGAGATCTATATCAACGCCGGCGCAATAAATCTCAATACATCCATCATTATCGCTGCCAAAAGATGAAGCGAAGAAAGTCGAAGCAAGGAAAACGTCTCTTAGATCCAAATCCATGGATATCTCATGATACCGTGATGCTGACGATCTTAATGTCATGTTCCGGCTTTTCCTTGAACGTCTTCGTATTCTCTATCTTGTGCACAACGTCGAGACCCTGAACGGCGCGACCAAAAACCGTGTGCTTGTTATCGAGCCAGCTCGTCTTCTCCGTCGTGATGAAGAACTGGCTGCCGTTGGTGTTGGGTCCCGCGTTGGCCATGGAGAGCGTGTAGGGCTTGTCGTGCTTCAGACTGGAGAACTCGTCCTCGAACTCGCCGCCCCAGATCGACTCGCCACCAGTGCCGTCGCCCATGGGGTCACCGCCCTGAATCATGAACTTGCGGATCACACGGTGGAAGATGGTGTTGTTGTAGTAGCCATTGCGCGCGTGCGTGACGAAGTTCTCGACGGCCTTAGGCGCCGCTGATGGGAACAGCCGCAGGTGGATGTCGCCCATCGTTGTGTGTAGGATCGCCGACGTGCCCAGCTCCTTGGCCTTTTGGGCGGCGGTTTCGCGGCCGCTGGCCGCCTGCGCTGGCCGTTCGTTCTGCACGTCTCGCGAGGACTTGGACACCTCGGTCTCGTTGGTGAAGAGATAGAACCGCAGCTTGGCAAATCCTGTGCTGACGAGGATCGGGTCGCGCTCCTCCGCTTCCTGGAGGAGGGGATTCGAACTGGCAGCCATGGAGACGGTCATCACGCCCTTCCGCTGCGGTTGCCCTTGGTACATGGCGAGGTTGAGTGCCCGGAACGGTTCGTCTTTGGCGTAGACGCGCACGACGCGGTTGGTGTAGGTGTTGATGCACTTGACGCCGTACAAAGAGCCATAGAGAATGAAGTGCCCGGACTCGTCGAAGATGACGTTGACTCGGGGCTGAGTGACAGGGTTCTCGATTTCGCGCTCCACCGCGAGCCGGCGGCCGAACTCTAGCTCGTCCAACTGGTAGATGGCGGTGCCGGCCTGCTGCATGTCGGTGATGGTGGAGAGTGATTCGTCGTATTTGCGGTGCAGTTTGCCGCTAGAGAAGTCGAACACGCGAACCTGACGGTCGGGGAAAGACATCGCGGCGAACTGCTCGCCGGAGGGGGAGATGGTCAAGGAGGTCGGAGTCGATTTAGACTTTTTAAATTCAAACAGGTTCGTGGACGACTTCAGCTCATAAACGTTGTCGGGCTTCTCAAAGGAGCCATCGCCGGCTCGCCAGTATTCGATCATGCCCGATTCATCGGCGGAAACCACGCAATCGTAGGCATCGTTGAAGGCAATCGCCGCCACGGGGCTTCGGTGGATGGACTTGACGGTGTGCAGTGGGGTGACGTTCTCTCCGCGGCCGTCAAAAATTTGAATCGTGTTGCTGCCTTCATCCGTAACAGCCAGCAGCGGTAGCGATGCGCCGCGGCGATGTACCCAGCAGACGCAGCGCGGGGTGAATTCGAGAGTAATCATGGCTAGTAAATCTGCAACGGCGCATCGTTCGTTAGTCACCCCGCCTCTGTTTCATTCACGAACTTATCATAGACGTACCAAACGTAATGACATCAAAGATCTTGACCGTTTTATCGTTGCCCGTCGTCGCAAAACTCCTGCCGTCAGCGCTGACGCTGACACTCCTCACTTCGCCGTTGTGGGCCCGGAACTCCTTGACAAACTCGACACCGACTGCCATTTTCTTCCAGAACTTGACAAAGCCGTCAATCGACGAGGTGATTAGGAAATCGGTGTGTGGCGATATAGTCACGAACGACAATTGGTCTTTGTGCATGAGCGATTTGGAGTAGCGCGGCGAGGCAGGCAGCGCGTTCACATAGACCTTCTCGAAGGGGAGCTTCCGTCGCTTCTTCTTGGGCGCATCCGCCGAGGGAAGGGCAGGGCCGAAATCGTCGTCGGAAGAGGAATCATTTCCTAGAAGCAAGCTGTCAGTATGAAGAAGCGACCGGGATATCTGCGCAGTGTAACGCTGTGAACGTACCGTCGTCCTCGGCGCCGTCGACGGCGGAGTGCGGTCTCTTGGATGAGAGAGGTTGCGAGCGATCGTCCTCAGCCGCCATGGTATAGTACAGGAAATAAGCAATGTCCAAGTAGTGCCTTGCTCTAAGAGAGTGAGGGAGAGGGAGCGAGATCGAAGGAGATGGAAGGGAAGCCGGAGCGTTGATCGTTGCGAGCAGCGCAGGCGGTCTGCGGGAGCTCGGGCCACATCGCGAACTTTTCTGGACGTCCCGCATTCTCTCTTCGATACTTCCTGTCTCGTCTCCCCTGAGCTGCCAGTCTTCCCCCCCGACGGTAGCCATTTATCTCTCGCTTTTCTAATTACTCCTCCATCATGGTGCGTGATTCTATCTGGTCGGTCTCTCTTAATGCTTTCAGCTGACAATTTTGTAGGCGTCCTTCGCCAACCCCACACAGATCTTTGCGGACGATGTCATCGAGGAGAAAGGCGAGAACGCTCGTCTCTCTGCCTTCGTCGGTGCCATCGCCGTCGGTGACTTGGTGAAGAGTACTCTGGGTCCCAAGGGAATGGACAAGATCCTTCAGTCAGCGTACGTGAGACGATCTAGGGACCCTGGATGCGGGGCACTCCGATTTGGTGGGCAATTTATGTACTGATGGTTTAAACGAATCCAGCTCGACCGGAGAAATTCTCGTTACCAACGACGGCGCCACGATCCTCAAAGCCATTGCTCTCGATAACGCTGCCGCCAAGGTGCTGGTCAACATCTCGAAAGTTCAGGACGATGAAGTCGGTGACGGCACGACGTCCGTCACCGTGCTGGCGGCCGAGCTGCTCCGTGAGGCGGAGAAGTTGGTGAGCCGCAAGATCCATCCCCAGACCATCATCGAAGGTTTCCGTATAGCCAGCCGAGCCGCTCTGGAGTCCCTGGAGAAGGTCGCCGTCGACCGCAGCGCCGACATGGAGTCGTTCCGTAAAGATCTCCACTCCATCGCCCGAACGACCCTGAGCTCCAAGGTCCTGGCCCAGGACCGCGACCACTTCGCCACTCTTGCCTGCGATGCCGTCCTTCGTCTCTGCGGCTCTACCGACCTCAGTCACATCCAGATCATCAAGAAGGCCGGCGGCAAGCTCAACGATTCCTACCTGGACGAAGGGTTTATTCTCGACAAGAAGATCGGTGTCAACCAGCCCAAGCGTCTCGAAAATGCGAAGATTCTGGTCGCCAACACTGCCATGGACACGGATAAGGTGAAGATCTTCGGTGCGCGGGTAAAGGTCGACTCAACGGGCAAGCTGGCCGAGCTGGAGAAGGCCGAGCGTGAGAAGATGAAGGCCAAGGTTGAGCGGATCAAGTCTCACGGCATCAACTGCTTCGTGAACCGTCAGTTGATCTACAACTGGCCCGAGCAGCTGTTCACGGAAGCCGGCATCATGTCCATCGAACACGCCGACTTCGACGGCGTCGAGCGACTTGCCCTGGTGACCGGCGGTGAGATCGCCTCGACGTTCGACCACCCCGACCAGGTGAAACTGGGCCAGTGCGATGTCATCGAGGAGGTTATTATCGGCGAGGACACCCTGATCAAATTCTCCGGCGTGGCTGCCGGCCAGGCCTGCACTATCGTCCTGCGCGGTGCCACCGAGCAGCTTCTCGACGAGGCCGAGCGCTCTCTGCACGACGCCCTGGCCGTGCTCTCTCAGACCGTCAAGGACCCTCGCGTGACGCTGGGTGGTGGCTGCGCTGAGATGGTCATGTCCAAGGCCGTGGAGCAGGCGGCGCAGAACACCACGGGCAAGAAGCAGCTGGCTGTCGACTCGTTCTCGCACGCTCTTAAGCAGCTGCCCACCATCCTGGCGGACAACGCCGGTCTGGACTCCAGCGACCTGGTGACGCGACTCCGACAGGCGATCAACAACGGCATGACCAGCTCCGGATTGGATCTACTGTCGCCGGGAGGCGGCATTGCCGACATGCGTGAGTTGGGCGTCGTCGAGAGCTACAAGCTGAAGAAGGCGGTTGTGTCCTCGGCATCGGAAGCCGCAGAGGTAAGAAACTCCCGGGATACAAATATTTGCAGACATTAGCTGACCTGAATCAACCACAGCTGCTTCTGAGAGTGGACAACATCATCCGGGCTGCTCCTCGCCGACGTGAGCGGATGTAAAGACGCTAGGAACGAAAATGTGAATGATATACTCCCCATTTTAGATCAGGCCACAATGAACGGAGCCGTTGGTTCTTAATTATCCTTCTTCCCCTCTCTTAGTCTGGATCTGAGCACAGAATCGGGTTCTCTTCCGTGCTGGAGGAAGGTGAATGGCGAGCTCTGTTCTGTTCAGGGCGTAATCACAGTACGATAGACCCCTTGACGAATCAAAAGCATGCTATGAACTGTCTATACCGTCGGCTAGGTTTCTTTGATCAATGGGCTTGGGTCTGATACCGTAAATAAAATGCACTACTTAATGATACATTGTCCCAAATGCCTATCCAACGGTAATCCCGTATTACCAAGTCCTGCATCCCAACCACAACGACCCAACTTACAAGGAATCAATGCCCATATCATCGCGACCTCTTCCCCCAGACCGCCATCACCAAATCCACGCCACTGAATCTCGCCGGTCGCAAGACGCCTCCTTCGACGACGGAGGCAAATGGCCCTCCCACGAGGACGTCGTCTCCCCCGCCGTCAGATCCCTCGGCTTCATGCCGCGCCCATGCAGGTTACGATACATGTACACGCCGCTGCCATCCATCCCGGAGCTCTTCTCGACGAACTGGCAATCGCGCAGGTTACGGAACACGGCTGTCATCAGCGGCGTGGTGTGGTCGGCCCGGTAGTGTTTGCCCATGACGCTTTGGATGGCATCGGTGGCCTCGTAGGCGTGGTAGAAGGGTATCGTGGAGACGAGGTGGTGTAGAACGTGTGTGCCCACGATCCAGTGGAAGAGATGCTTGTCGACGTCGAAGCCGTATAGCTTGAAGCTGCGGTCGATTGTAGCTGCCGCGCCGCGGGCGAATGACCACTGGGAATGGGTGAAGTGAGGTAGCATGACGTCGGTGTGTTGGAGGTAAGTGATGGTTACTTTTTTTCGTGAGACGAGAGGAGGTGGTTAGTTTCGGATGATGGGGGAATCATCGCTGTTTACTTACCGATCCATTGGTTTAGTCAGAGGTATGGGATGCCGTAGAAGATGAAAATTGTCCAAAGGTCGAACACCCGAACGGTAGAGAACACAGAAGCCCCCTTCTGGCCGCTCAAGTTGTCTAGTATGTATAGAGGCCAGCCGAAAAGTTGGAATAGCAAGTAGCGCCAGAGGGTCACCAAGGGGACATCTTCGGTCAATTCAGCCACGCTGATCCTGTGGGGGTCGACGTCCTGGCCGAGGGCGCTTCGCATCCAATATCTGGTAGCAGTTAGCAGAGCTTCTTGTTCCCAGGAAACCAAGGAGAAAAAGCCAACTCTCGACTGTGCAGAATATAGACCGTGTCTCGCTGCAAGTCGCCCGTGGACTTGTGATGATGAGTGAGAGGTCTTCCAGCTATAGTAGGGCACCAGCAGAGAGGAGTGCAGCAGGAAGCCGGCGACGTTGTTGGGAGTCTTGGGCTGAGAGAAGGCCCCATGGCCACATTCATGAGCGAGGATCCAGATCCCGGTCATGATCATGCCTGCCACCACCGTATACAGACCGTAGACGATGATTCACAGATAGACCGATGGCATTAGAGGAGTATAGACATAGACTGCCCAAGACAAGGACCCGAGTAGGAGGTAGTCTCGCACGACATAGCTCATACTGCGGGCAATTGATGGGCGAAAGCAATGCGCCGGGATAACATTGTGGATCTGCTTCATGGTGAAGGTTGGGACTTCGAAAACATTGCCATGGAGATCCACATGCTTTAGAACATGATGCTCCACCGTTTTCTTCGTCATCGTGCTTGCAATGGACAAGGGTGGATGTAGGTGGACCCAGCACTACCGGGGTATAACCCAAGAGCAGAGCATGATTCAATGTTTCAGTGAATGCCAATGAAAGGTTTCTCTGCGGATGTTGATATCAGTCCAGGTCCGAAAAATCATCTACCCTTATCCATAACCCGACCATCTTGTTTGCTTCCTCTCCTGGATCATGATCCGAATTCTGTTATTTGCCCTCGGCATCTTCTCCTCCCGGTCTGCATCGTGGGTGCTGGACCTGCCGGACTGAGCGCTGCGGCGGAGTTAGAAGGCCAAGGACATCGCACGGTGATCTTTGAGAAGCAGAGCGCAGTCGGAGGGAAATGTCAGGCTGTCTACCAGAAGTAAGTTCTTACAATGGGAGGAATTGACCTAGCCATGCTGCCGAATTGCTAAGCCCCTCGCCAGCGGATCATTCAGCCCTCTAGGCGCGTTTATCTTCATGCCCCCAACATATCGCGAGTCTATTCGGCTCCTGCTAGACACCGACATGACTTCTGTTCCTTTCATTTCCGGGGAGAAGTGGTAGTACAATGCCAGTAGCGAACTGGTCTGGGCCAAACCTGCGCCACCTCCCCAGGCCTCACAGCTTCTAATGACCGAGGTTGATCGGTACATTGACTGGTGGAACAACCTAATTTGGATGCATGCTCACCCTTCATCAGCTCTTGTGCTGCAGTATCTCACCCCAGGCATACTGCTCATTCTTCTCAAAGTCCAACGAGGCGTGAAGATCGAAATTACAGGTCAGATATCTTGTGTTCAGTGAATAATCTGACGGCTACTAAAGTCATCTAGATTTCCACCAAACCCTAGAGAAATTCGCCGCGAAACGCATTTCCGGCGCGATCCACCTCAACACGGCGATTTCTAAGATCGGTTCGTCTCCCTGATAAACATCATTTGAACCATGGTACTAAGCGATATGTAGATCGAACCGGAGAGCATCCCATCGTCGCCTTCCATTCAGACGGGCATGACAGCCGCACGCAAACCTGTTCCGCCGTCATCCTCGCCTTCCCACCCGCCGTCTCTGCCCTCAAATCCGCCAACCTGGACCTCTCCGAGGGCGAGCACGAGGTATTTGGCCCCGTGGGAATTAATAGCTTCTACTCGGGCGCCGTGAAGATGTCCACGCCGCATGGAATGACTTTCGGCGCGGCTAGCCCTCACCCGGGACTTCCCCCGGATGCCACGGGGGACCCGGTCGTCTGCAAGAAGCTGCACGGTCATCTCGACATCGCTATTACCTCGTCGTGGGGTCCCTATCGTGGCACCCTCCAGGGACGAGGCATATGCGCGCTTAAAGACGACGCTCTCGCTATTCAATCGAGACCCTCGAGACCCGTCGTCCCAAGCCGTGCCCATCACGGATGACGACGTGTTCGCTTTCCAGGAGAATGCGTATTTCCCTCACTATAACTCTAAGCAGCTACGGGAGGGATACTACGTGCTCTTTGAGAGATTGCAGGGCCAACGCAAGACGTACTACGCGTCGGGATTCAATAAGTTTGAACTGGTGGAGTATGCAATTCGTGCAGGACAGGATATTGCCCGCACGTATTTCTGATGTGAAAGATGAAATCTTGGTCTGGAATCGCAATTGAGATCAAGTCTATTGGGGTCTAATGCCGATTCTCCGCACGCCTCCCGTAACGCAAGATAATGGAAAATAACCCGTATACTTAGTCCATGTACTGGGAATTAGCGCAACGCGCTCTTTTTCAACCACTCATGTGCCTCACCGTAGATTTCATCGCACACCTGCTGTCTCTTGGCCCTTTTGACTAGATTGCGTCCGCGGCTGTGTGTGAAACCATGCGATTGCCCCATGGCCAATGTCCACTTGTACGTGTCCTTTTCGAACGGTGCCTCCTGATCCTCCCTGTCCTCCAGTCCAGCCAGGCGATGGATCATAACCTGCGACTCCAGTCGCAACATGTCCCACTGGGCGCCGATCACGTAAATCCAGCGCGGCAGATCCTCCTTGCAGGCGTACTCCGGGCTTAGCAAAGGATCGCGGCGATTCTGTCCCACACGCACGTAGCCCCAATCGAGCCACCAGGAGGCCTCTTCGAGGTTGTCTTTCGGTCCGTTGGTATAAGGCCTGGATGCCAGCTTCTCGTCGGGGGGATGGCCGAAGTCGACGATGGGGTAGTAGATCACAGCGGCTTGTACCAGCGCCTTGAGAGGGGGCAGTTGGGCCACCGACAGCGCTAGATTGCCACCCGCGCTGAATCCGCCTACCACGACGCGCGACTGGTCGATCGGGAGCGATTTGTCCCCTAGGATGGCTTTCACCTGCGCCGCCAAGTCGTCGGTGGCTGTGGGGAAAGGATGCAGGGGAACTTTGCGATAATCTAGGCTGACAACCAGCATGCCTGTGCGGGAGGCCCAGGAAGAGCAGAACTCGTCATCGACGGACGCATCGCAAAGGGCGAATCCGCCGCCGTGGATGTTAAGGTAGACGGGTAGCAGTTGCTCGCCGGCGCGATAATCGTGCGGATAGAAAATGCGAGTTTCCAGCATAACGCGGCATGCGTAGCGCTTGACCAGCGTCGGCTGGGATCCTCGTGCGGGCGAGTGGACCAGACGCTGGTAGAAGAAGTAAATGTTGGCGAGAAATTTCAGCAGCCAGAGACGTAGGAAGCAATTGAGCCGGTGCAGAAATGGCATGCCGACTTTGGGCAGCGGCTCGGGATCATGCGCCATGCTTTTAGAATTCATCGCCATGATTGGTTGGGGAGGAGGAGGAGGAGGAGGAGGAGGAGGCAGGGGAAGTGGTTGAAATAGAAGAATGAAGGTGTTGGCGGATAATGTTGAGTCGAGCGATGGGCGTCATGAATTTAGTTGTGTTGGCGCGCTCCCACTTGTTACCTATTAACTTAGTATACAATTGACCGAGTCTGTCCAGCCCTAGAAACTGCCTCCCCCAATTCCTTCCCTTGGCTAATTAATATCCTAATGGCGTGTCCGATGGCGAAGCCCTCCTCCTCGCGCGGAGAATTGCGCCAATCTCCAGGTGTGCAAACTGACGCTGAAAAGTTCTCTTTGTTGAGCAAAGACACTAAACCGTTGAGCGCAGGATTTAGGTAGTCGACTCCGTTGGGCCGTAATCGCCTCGTAATCCACCTTGACTTCTCAGCGCTGGTCTGGAAGTTCTCTCACCTCGTGAAATTTGATATCATATCATCCAGAAAATTTCTGTCTGACTATGTTCCATTGGGAGTCCATATTGATGCCAGGTTATTACCGGGTGAATGGCTGGTGCGCCTCGTGACGATGAGGGTCACTTTGGCTGGGGAGTGATGTATTCAGCCTTCTTCTCCGTCAAGAATACCCATTGAGATGACCGAATTCAAACTGGGAAACCAGTACCTCTAGGATAACGGAGAGATGATCCCTGAAACGATATCCGACGAAATCACCGACACCTCGCTGGAGAAGAAAGTTGGCGGCGATGTCGAGCTTGAAGCCGAACCCCCTCGGCCCAAATCGCTCAAGTTCAAGCTCACCGTGCAATTCCTGGCCATCGTCACGCTCATCGCTTCCATGGATGCGGTTATTGTAGGCTCGTGCCTAGTAGCAATTGCGGAAGACCTGCAGAGTAGCAGCGTGGAATCCTTTTGGGTGGGTACCTCGTTCCTGCTGGCTCAGACCGTCACCATTCCTCCGTACGGTACTACTAGCGAGATATTCAGTCGCAAGGGGCCTATTATCATCGCAACAGCCATCTTTACATTCGGCAGTATCCTCTGCGCAACCGCCCAAAATGGCGGCTGGCTGATCGGAGCCCGAGTGGTTCAAGGCATCGGAGCCGGTGGCATGATCCAGCTGGTGCAAGTCATCCTCTCCGACATTTCAACAACGGGCAAAACCCCCCCGCAACCGAGGCTGGAAAGCCATGTTGCCGAGATCGCATATCAGATGATCCGGAAGTTTCCTTCGCCAGTTCAGCATGAATATCGATGGGTGTACGCGCGGATTCTGACCACGATGTGGTATGTGATGATGGGATTGTCGATCGTTGGATTTGTGGTCAGTCTAATTGCCAGGAACGACGAAATCAAGGGTGGCTTGTCCGGGACGCAGAACTTCCAGGATGGAACGAAGCCGGCAGACGAGGAAGCAAGGGAGGGGCCGGAGACATGCGGCTGATATGAAGGTCAGGGTTGGGACCTCGGGGCAAGAGAGGGTAGGGGTTAGTATATTGTATTGGGCATCTCAGTGGGTATTCAGCCTTCTTCTCCGTCAAGAATACCCATTGAGATGACCGAATTCAAACTGGGAAACCAGTACCTCTAGGAT